CTGTGCTTGAGGAATAACTTCTTCACTGTGAGCGTGACAGAGCACTGGAACAGAGAGGTGGTGGAATCTCCTCTGGAGAGATTCCAAACCTGCTTGGACGCGTTCCTGTGCCGTTGGCTCTGGACGAACCTGCCTTGGCAGCGGGGTTGGACCAGACCATCTCCAGAGATCCCTTCCAGCCCTGACCAGTCTGTGATTCTGTGATAGGTATTGCCACCAAAGTCACTTGCCTGCTCCTTCTGCCCCCTTAGCACATTCCACACTGGCACCAGCGCTTTAATTCCAACTCTTCCCGTGTTCTTTTGAGTGAAAGAAAATATTTGTAATACAGTTTTACTGTTGCAATCCAGCTGCAATATATGCATAAACTCCCAGAAATGATCCTATTTAAGAAATGGTGATATTTAATACTTGTAAACCATCCTTAGTGCACAGGATGGAGGGTCACCTAAGAATAAATTAGGATGGTGTAAGAAAGAGGGCTGTTGTGTTAAAGGCATCGTACTCATTTCTTGTGAAATGTGTATGGTGAATATATGATGATTACAGAAAGCAAAGGAATGTTTTAAGTTCATGGTTTTGCCATAGTGTTGATACGTGTTGACAGGCAAATTCCTTTAAACTTTGAGGTCAGATGTGGGAATATTAAGGAAGGGGGCAGAGGGAGGAGAAGGAAGAGAAACACTGTGAGATCATAATATTAGACTGCTTCACAAGGTGTGTTCTTAAGGATGAGGCACTTGCATTGCACAGGTGTATTCAGTAGTGGCATTTCATAGCTTGACTGCATGATGCTGTCACCCACTGCAACCTGCTCTATTATTTTAATCTCTTTTTTGTGTGTAACAGTAAAAAGAAATTGAAAAAGGGACTGATGGAAACATTTGGGAAAGTCGGAGAATGCCATCATTACTCGTTAGACAGCTACAGACATAGCTTCTTCGGGCAAGAGGGTATAGCCAGACCTGCTGTGCCATTGAAACAGTCTGGAACCAGTGGCCAAATTCATTTGGAATGAAATGAAAGCCAAGTAGTCACTTTCCTAGTGTTTCAAGCTGGAATCAGAAGTAGGTCAAGGTAACGTTAGTCAAGTTGGATGTAAATACATTCCTTGCACTCCCACCTGTGCATGAGCCAGCGGTCAGTGAAATGTCTGGGGTAAAACCAGCTATGTGTGCAGCTCCTGGGATACCCTCTTGTGATTATTTATTGTTCTGTGCTTGGTTCCCTTCTAGGAAGCAGGTTGCTTCCTTCCAGCAGTGTTGCTGGCTCCAGTGGAAAAGGCAGCAAAGCAGATGCTCAGCACCATAACCCAGTAAGTGCTTTAATAAAATGTTTCCTTCTTACTTGCACAGAGATAAGGATGGGAGAAAAGAGAGATGATTCAGGAGGCTTTGCTTGCTGAGGGTTGAGAGGACAAAACCAACAAGAAAGTGCTTGCTTGGGGGAGGTTAAAGAACAGCCTTGTCCTGCAGGCCTCTGTTTTGTGCTGTGTGAGGGCGCTGCTGGAGGGCCGTATCGGTGCTCGCTGGGTGGGGAGCACCGGTAAGGGACATGAAGCAGGACCGCCGGCCGGTGGTTCAGGGTGGAGGTAGGCCCCCGGGCCAGCCCTGGCCTCACTGAAAGAATGCAGCAAATACTGTACGGCTTCACAGTAAATGCAGATAATCCCATACCTTCTTCCCCAAATGATCTTCATGGCAAACTGACTCTGGCCCGTTTAATCTACCGAGGCGCTCTGTCTTTGTTGCCTGCTCCCTTTCATGGAACATTTCCTGTTGAGACACCTCTCTTACCCTAATCTATGCTGTTTTATTATCTTATTTTTCTTTCATTATCTGGTCTCCCGTGGGCAGATGCCACCTAGCTTTCTCCGCACTTACCCTCTGCTTCCTGCCTTTTCATTATTTTACTGAAACACTTTCTTTTGCTCATTCTGTGACGATCTCTGTGCTTGCTTGTTTGCTTTCAGTGTAGCATTGGTGGGACCTGCTTCTCCCTGCCAGTTTCACAGATTTTGCAGAAATGGCAAGTGGGACTGGATCTCCTGGTGGGGTCTGTAATAGAGCAAAGGGAAACACAACTCCAACTTTGTTCCCTAGAGTTCATAGTCCAGTTTTGCCTGCATCGCTGAGAGTCTCTCTGCTCAAAGTCCTTTTCCTTGCTCAGTATCTTCTCCGGCTTGACAGCTAAACAGCATGCTACCTTGGAAGTGATGTGCATGTGAGGCTCCCAGGAACTAGTTTGGTATATAGCTAAGTAGAAGAGGTATCATCTTTATGGAAGAACATCCTTCCAGCTATTCCTAAGTAGCTGGCAGTTCTTACTACTGCTTAACATTTACCCTGTACCTGCTAAAAAGACACAACAGTTTAGATCCTCAATGTTTTTTCAAATAATGGTCAGCTTTTAGCTGCCCTGCCACCTGATGGCATTCAGCAGTCAGATGAACAGTTCACCTCCACGCGGTGGTGGCCGCTGGTGTCGCAGCAGACTGACATTTACAGACAGCAGATCAGAAAGCTGGTACTCAGCACTGAGACTACTTAAACGCATGCCGCGCCGAAGACAGGTACTGAGAATGACAGTATAGCTGCCAGCCAGTGTTTACTGGGATGATGACCAGAGTATCTGCAAAGAGCTTGTGCTCCGAGTCAGGTCTCTGTAGCACAGGAGTAAGGTTGCCTAAACAAGAGTCAGAACTTCCTCCAAGTCCTGCTCCCTGACAGGCAAATTTGCTCTGAGTATACAGTCAGAATTGCAACAATATGCATTCTCACTGATCTAAATGCAAAGGCTGTAACCTAACTCATGGTTATCACAGGCAGTAAGCAGTGTAAGGAAAATCCTGAGTCTGAATTTTCCTTATCTCAGTAGTCTTGAAGTACTATTTTAGTACCTACTGTTTTGAACATTTCATTTCCACTGATTTCACGTATGTCTAAGGGCCTTGAAGTTCATTTTGGGAAATACGTAGCAATCTGTAAGATGCATCTCATTTGGTCTGTCTGCCCAATCAGCAGTGTTCTGTCACCAAGGCTGTTGTTTCAGTCAAGCTGGTTCAAAGGATAAAGTTTCATGATACCCTGGCTTTCACCATGAGATTATTCCATGATGTTCCTTGCATTCTGCCCACCTTCCCACCAGAGCTCATTACCTGCACAAAGTGCATTTAACCCATTTGGGAGACATCACTGCCTATGGCAGTGGTCACTGGGGTGATCTGGCTTAAGTGGTGTTTCAGGCATTCCATTTTTATCACAACCTCAGAATCAGTTTGGTAGCACAAACTGAAGACCAGCGAATTTCACGGGGGGTGGGGAATGGTAAAAAAATGTCTTTTAACATGTCTTCAGGGGACTCAGAGATGCCTACCATATACTAAAAAAAGGTCTTTTAACATGTTTTCAAGGGACTCAGAGATGCCTACCATATACATGGTACCTTCCCTGTATTCCTAACTCGTAAAGGAATGCAGTCTCTTATCTCACAAAGATATCCTTAAATTCCAGGCTGGATTTGCCTAAAGAGTAATAGGTGCATTGGTGGAAAGGAGGAAGGAGTTCTTAAATTGTAGGATATTTCCTGGAGAGCTGAAAGAGGTGTAAGGAGGAAAAATTGTGGATGGGGGAACAAGTGATAGTCCCACTAGCATTTACAGCTGTAAGAACGTGAAGGATAGAGATTTACAGGATTTTTCTGATGCTTTGTGCCAGGATTTGCTGTTCAAGTGAGCAAGCATGAATCCACTTTACCTTAAAGTTCAGAAAGAGACAAAAAATGGAATTCCAGCTGCTGCTAGTTCTTCTGCTTCCCTCAGTGATGCCCCAGACAGCCAGGAATCATTGAGAAATCAAGCCTCATGCAATTAATTGGAGCGTCTTATTCCAATTCAGCCAATATAGAGCCAGGTTCAAACTAGCTCAGTGTGAGACGTCTAACTACTGTAATCAGAGGTGAGAATGAAAAATGAAGTGTTTTGGTTTTAATCTTATTGTTTGCCTATCTTTGCCTCTGCAGCCTATACGATGGGAAATGTCTCACAGCCATAAGCAAATCACCATGTGGTAGGCAGCGATTAGGCCATCCTTGAGGAAGCAAGACACAGCCTAGCTCAGTTACTCACTAAACTTACATGGTATTCACCACTCCCCTCCAAAGATATTCCGTAAAACTAAGAGTCATTAAAAATTCCTGCATGGTCTGGAGTTGGTGTCTGAGAATGCATGTGTGTGGTGGTCTCTTCAAATGTCAGTCACTGCAGAGCAAGGTGTATAATATTTTCAAAAATACCCCATTAGTTCCCCATATTTTTCTCTGGGCTTGAACCGTCCCTCTCTTTTCCACGCTTTTCTCATGCCCGCTCCAGCTGCCCTGCGGCAGAGTAAAAGGAAGCATGAATACCTTGTCCTGGGGTTCCAGTTTCTGTGTAGTATCTTGGACTTAAAATGAAAGGAGAATGTGGCCAGCTTCTCTTAGGCTGTATGTGTGTGTGTGATTCTAAAGGGCAAGCAGGAAGAGAAATCCAGAGATCGCAGTCCCGTAGCAACAACTTAATCCTCATACTTTTATGGAGAAATCCAGAGATCGCAGTCCCGTAGCAACAACTTAATCCTCATACTTTTATGGAGAAATCCAGAGAACTCAGTCCCATAACAACAATTCAATCCTCATGCTTTTAGGGCAAAAGAAAAATCTAATCAAGAAAGAAGCAGGTTTTAATCTGTAAGAAGTTAAATATTTACAGTTCAATCTTTAATGTTAATCATTAATCTACTGAAAGAAAAGAAGCACATTTGTATTGGTAAGGACCTCACCAGAGTGGTAATACTGGCAAACCTTGAAATTCTTTGTAATTAGAGGTGAAACTGCTAACTTTGTGAAGTTAGCTGTTAAGGATGAGAAAGCCATCTCTCCCAAAATTGGATACATTCAGATAATCACTGAAGACTGACCGTGTACAGATATATTTTCACTCTTATATACTTTCTCAGGACTTTTCACATCTTGGGGCTTGGAATTGATGGAACAGGCCCAAACCATTTTTCACCTGCAAGTCAAACCAGCACGAAAGAGAAAATTGAAATTTAATACATAGAAGTGATTGGCCGGTCATATTTCTGCAATAGGATGACTGTTCCTACTCCTCTATTGAAGGGTAACTACTGATGGTTGGTGGAACAGATTTATATCTTGTTTGTCATGCTTCAGCCAACTCCATGGATCCTTCACTGTCTAGTCACATTTGAAACTGTACATAAACTATTTTCCTCTGTCACAAATGAGAGATGCTACAGGTCTGGGGCATTCCATATGAAGGTGAAGCCAATTCTTTTTAGGACTCCTTTTTTTGAGGGACTGGCAGTAAGGAATAGAGAGATGGCGGAAGGCTGGGGAGTCAGAGAAACAAGAAGAAAATCTGTTGAAGTCCTTGGAGTTGAGACTAGAAACCAGGCCCTAACATTCCAATCAGGATTAGTAACTATCATAGTGGGTGTGGGGTATTCGTGTTCCTCGCTCTTATTTTCCTCAAGAACATTTTTATACAATGAGAAACCCATCCAGAAAAGAAAGTAAACCTCAAAAAAATTCCCTTCGTTTTAAGCCTGTGACTAATTTTAAGATTTTCTGCTGAAATTTTTCAACAAATGCATCAGAGCTAATTATGTGCAAAAGTCCTTCTAGTGTCACACTCTCTCCAGTGCCAAATCTTGAGATCAATAGTCAAATGCCCTCTAACTCATTTAAGAGCAGGTTACTGAGTTTTACTAGTTATCACAACCTATTCCAGTTTTCTTTTAAAATTGTCAATTCATTTTCTCTTAACAGAAAAATCGAAAAGGTCATCAGTAAATGAGTTTCTGTTAAAAAGTTGTATAGTTGGATAATTACAAGTTATGGACTGGGGACCTGTGATAATGTTCTTTTGCTAGAGTAGGAACAGATATAAAATGAGTATGTACCAAAAAAGGCAGTATCAGCCATAGTCTGAATCTCAGCCAAGATCTAATGTCCAGTACCCAAAGGTTAAATATGAACATTTTGAAAACTGAAGAGTTTCAGTAGTGATCTGAGAATGGCATGTGTAGCACCAAGCCTTGAAACATAGCAGGGGAGGATGGAGAACTCAGGCTACTTCTTGTTTGGAAAAGCACTACATCTTTGGTCACTGTACTGAGATACGTTCCGGTCAGCAGTTGCATCCCATGAGAAGGATACCCAACATTATTAAATATTTGAAAGACATTAAGCGTGTTTTATTTAGCTGTATTAAATATTTCATTAGAAGAGGGTGAAAGCATGAAACCAAAAGCGATGTTATGAGGTATACTCACCTATAAGACTGCCTAGCAGCTCTAAACGATCAGAGCCAAAAAAGAGATGAGGTTCTCCATTAAAATGGGCCACAGCAGCAGGCATCCCAAATGCCTAGTAACACCATGGAGATGAAAAAGAAAATGTTAGAATGAGAAAAATTTTTGCAAATCAAATCTTCCAAGAATAAAAAGCAAAAAGTTTGACTTTTTTTCCCCCTTTGTTTTCACCTTCTTCATTCTTAGACATTAGTCTAACGGAGCCATCAGAAAGCAGGGGACTCTCCAGAGCCTGTATGCCCCTTTAGAAGGAGCAAAAAAGGGAAGTGATACAGTTTTAAGTCAAGTAGCATAACACGGTATGTCTTGGTACTGGTCCTGTAGCTCCCCGTCCTTGCCGTCCAGCTGGAATAAGCTGAGTGGGTCAGCCTGGGGCCCAGATGACAGTGTGATAAACTGCCAGCAACAGTGAGTTAGCTTTCACATGTTCAAAACGCACAGAGCGCTGTCTATGCAGGGCCTCCTAATCATCACCTTCACTGTGCCTTGCTTCCCAGTATTCTTAACAGGGAAGGAATGCGTAGCAGTGGTGGCAGATGGCATTGGAAGCACCTCACCCCATATTTTATTGCTTCCTCTGTTGTCTCTCTCAGTCGGTTCTTCACTGCAGGGGATGAAATCATTTCAAGTAGCTTCTGGGCAACCTCTGATGGAAGCCCAGCCTGCCCTGCAACCTGAGAAGAGATGATCTAATTAAGAACAATACTAAATATTCTAATTCCTACTACCATCTACCTAATTTAATCATCTTCAGTATTACCACCCAAAGTCTATGACCAAAAATATTACAAAATACCCTGCACAATTGCCTTGTTGTATTCCCAACCCATGCATCGTTTATCAACTCAGATACAAAGTAGAAGGGATATTTTAAACTTCCAAGCCCCAGAACTGTACTTTTTTTTCAGGAGTTCTTAAACAGAAAAAAAAAAAAAAAGAAAAAAAAAGTTGAACCTCTGCTACAATGATTTATCAGATAATTTACTGAAGAAACAACGAATGTTGTTCTGAAAAAGAAAATCTTACCTACAAGCCTGCCCAGACAAAACCAGCTTGTGTAACAAACGTGGCCTCACAGGAACTCTAAGTGAGACTGCGGGAGAGACTGTAGCTCACTGAGGTGAAACACTTGCTAGTGTGACTACTGTATCTTTTTAGCCTCCTCTGTGCTTCTGCAACACAGGAATGACGTAAAGTGGCCAAAGGTAAAGGTCTAATGTTCATCAGGTAACATCAAAGTTACAAGTACCTGCTTTAATAAAGTATTTGGGGGAAAAAAAAAAATTAACTTCCACACCATCTACCTGAACGGCACAACCTTTTTTTTAAGAAGAAAAAAAAAAAATTCCCTTTCTCTCTCCCTCCATTCTTCCTTCCCTCCTCTCTCCTTCCATTCTTACTTCCTTGCTTCTTCCTTCCTTCCTTCATTCCCTCCTTCCATTCTTCCTTTCTTCCTTCTCTCCCTCCCTCCTTCCTTCCTCCTCCCTTCCTCCCTTTCACCCTTCCTCCCTCCCTCCTTTCTTCCTTCTTTGTCCTACTTCCACATCAGGGAGATTAGCTCTTTTTGACCCTGCTTGAATGGGACATAAACAGGTGTAGTACTGAGTAGAACAAAATGCGGTCTATGCTTGGCAGCCGTGGTGTTTAGACTGCAGTATTTACGCAGAGATGTAGTACCTGGTCTACAACATCCTAGGGCAGAAGGGGTATTTAAGCAGAATGGGGCAGGATTCAAAGACTATACATTGCTTCTGTAGTAATTTAGGTGAAGTTATTGTTGACTAAAAAAAAAGTAGTAAAAAATACTAAGTAATGGTATCAAGTAAACGGCATTTAATTTTTCTAATTAACGTGTAAAATAAATTCACCCATAAAGACTCAGATGGAAGGGTTGGGACCCGTCACCCAGCTTTGCATGGCATTTTTCCACAAGAGAGGAAGGTCTGGTACTTGCTGCAGCGGTGAATAAAGACAGACACAAGCAAACCAGGAGATGCCTAGCTCTGCCTTGTTGAACGTAGGTGGGTGCACCAAACAGTGACTAAACCAGAGACTTTTTTTAGCATGACATTTGTTTCTTTGAAGCCCTGCATATCCTTGCTTTATCTTTATTTAAATAATGATGGATTCAGAGACTATGCAAGGACTTTTTGCATATATTTATGTACTGGGTCTGGCTGGGACGGAGTGAAGAGCAGCTCGTGTGGTTCTGTGGTTTCGGTTTGTGACCAAACCGATGCTGATAACACACTAATGTTTTAGCTGTTGTTGAATGTCAAGGCCTTCTCTGTTTCTCACTCTCCTCTCCCAGTGAATAGGTTGGGGGTGCACAAGAGCTTGGGAGAGGACACAGCAAGGCAGATGACCAGAACTAATCAAAGATATTCCATGCTATATAACATCATGCTCAGCAGTAAAACATGAGACAGGGGGGTTCGGGCGGTTAGCCACCTTTTGCTTGGTAACTGGCTGGGTACTGGTCTACCACTAATCAATGATATTCCATGCTATCAAAGATATTCCATCATGCTCAGCAGTAAAACGTGAGAGAGAGGGTTTCGGGCGGTTAGCCACCTTTTGCTTGGTAACTGGCTGGGTACTGGTCTACCAGTGGGAACATGGTGAGTTGATTGCCTTTGCATCACGTGCTTTGTTTTCTTTCTCTCTTCTTCCACTTCTCCTTTGCTTATTAAGCAATTTTATCTCAGCCCACAAGTTTTCCTGTTTTCTTTTCCTCCCTCCCATCCCACTGGGTGGGGGAGGGTGATGGGGGAGTGAGCAAGCGGCTGTGTGGTGTTCAGCTGCCTACCAGGGTTAAGGAACCGCAGTTTCATTACATCCTTCAAATCTTGCCTCTTGAAAAGGCAAAATGCAAACTCTTGCTGAATTTCTGGTAAAAAAGGTACACTAAGATGAAGTGGGAGGACTAGACTCTGGGGAAACATTCAGACTGCAGATTTCAGGTTTCAAAGAGGAACATTGGATAAGAGAGACTAGTCACGGATAATTCTCTCTTCACATTCCAAGAATTAAAAAATAAAGTAATGTAGAAACGAGAGCCTGTAAAAGGGATCTCGTGGTATAGCAACTTCCATGCCATTACAGCTTTTACTGTAATAAACAAAATCTAACTAGCAAAAGAAAATACATCCAGAGAGCACAATTTCTACAGCACTGAAGCCTGGCTCCATCCCTTCCAGAAAAGTCAACCTCCTGAAAGAGTTGCGTTTCTCCTGAAGATTTCACCCACCAACAAAACCTCAGTGCATTCTGGAGACACTGTTCATACTTTCACTGCTGTTAATAAAACTACATTAACAGATAATTCATTGTCCATCCCAGGTATCTCACCACATACCTTAACAAAAAAGGAGATTCTGGTTCTCGGAGTTATTCAAAACATGAACAACAACAACTACAAATTCCAAACAAAGCTACGCGGGAAATTAAATCCACTTTTTTCTAGATCAATTTTTTAAAAACTCCTAGTGATCATTTGACTAAGCTGTGTTCATGTTTATTACTGATCCAAGCCATCAGTAAGAATCTGTATCAGAAATGCAGAAGCACCAAAAAAAGGAGACACTTACAGCCAATATACTCTCCGGCTGACTGATATCTTCATGCTGGTAAAAGAATAAAATAAGTAATTCAGTACTGAAGAAGAAAAGCTCAGTTCTGGATTTGAAAGCAAGTTTTCTAAGAAAATAAAATAAAAACTAGAAATGTATTGTTTTCTGATATGAACTACTGATCCACTCAGCCCATAGGGCTCACCATACATACCTAAAAGAAAGCAAAGCAAAGCAAGCTGGCTATAAGGCAGTTCTTTTCTTGTAGTGGCTCTTGAACCACTGTGACGTTATGTTTCCTGATGTAACTTTTCCTTAACAGACATTTCCTTTCTCTTGCTCGAATTCCACATTTGAATGAAGTGGGACAAGAAGGGTGACAGGGAAAAGGATCATGGAGTTGGTTTCATAAAATACTGACCTTTGACCAAAAACGTATCCAGAACTCTCTAGATAAGGGTTCCAAGTATCGTGGTTGTGTCATATCAGCGGCTGTGATGAAGCGCATGGCCCCAAGAGTGCCTGGGTGTAGTGGGAAGACAGAGAAACATACGGAACCAAGGCATAGGATCAGGAACAGATATGGCCTGCACAAGTGCTACCTAAGAACAGTCCCTGAACAGTAAAGCTTATGTTGAGTCACAGTATCTTCCGTGCTAATACCATTCATAAGCATGTTTCTGCAGAAGTTCCTTTTATGGTTAAAAATGAAAAGACTTCATCTTGTTCACAGATACAGAAGAGGCTGAGAGTAGGGAATTCGTCTTCACTGTTAGGGAGAACCTGAACCAGAAGTGCTAGAGTTGAAAGATACCACCTAAGCCAAGTCTCTTACTTACCTGTGCCAAGGACACTTTGGAAGTCACGCTCTGAAATTTGTATAGGCACTTCGTAGTACTTTGCCATCCTTTTTACATCTTTCAGCATGTATTCTGCACGCTTTGGCAGCATTGCTGGGGGCTTGTTACCTTTCAGGAAAAGGTTGAGATTTTCAGCTCTATTACTGGACAAAACAAAACTGGACAAATCAGATCTCATGCATACATAATACCTAAGGAAGAGTATAGTTTCAGATTGGCTTACTGAAACATACACAGCTTTTCCAAAGATGATGCTGGGACTTAAACATGATTTATTCTAGTTTTGCACAGATCGGCCCTTTAAGTTAGAAGGACTAGTTTTAAACCAAGGCGTAAACGTCCAGGGATTACACTGATTCAGACAAATGACCTTTAAGCTAAACAACTACTAATGCTTGGCTAAACTTGTTAATTTCATGATTTATGATTTATAAATCTGAGTGATTAACTTGACTGAGCTCCACAGTCCTATGGTTGTTCTGTTGTTGGTGCCAAAACTTTGTTTAAAGCTGGCTCTGCGGACTCTGCACTCACGAGAGCTTGCCCACTGGTGTCCTAAAGAAGGTGCTTCCCTACAGAGCTCATCTCCCCACGCTGCCTACCGGTTGCTTGCATTATGCCACCAAGGAAAGCTGGCCGAAAGCGCAGATCAATGTTCCAGATGTGCTGGTACCGGCAGAGGACCTGCAGCAGAAAAAGGCAGGGATGGCTCAAAAGTGAAAGGCGGTTTCTGTAGGGCGGCAGGCTGCAAGGAAAGAAGCTCAGGCATGAAAGGCTCTGCAGATAAATCCTCTTCTGTTACAGCAGCACTAGGCCTGCAATCCCTCTCTGGAGGCTGCCAGAGGCCTCCGATACCAGAAGAACCCAAAGGACTGCATTCCTGTTATGACCGTTCGCAGGCCTAAGCAGGGGTAAGGGAGGGAAAGACCAAGCTCCCGAGTGCAGACTTGCACCCGTTAAACGCCAAAACTACCCCTAAGCCGAGATGTTCAGCAGTAACCCCCGAATAAATCAGGCCTTTTGGCTGAGACACGCTTCCCGCGTGTCGCTGGGTTTCGGGGCGTGAGCAGGAGGCGCAGACAGCCCTCACAAGGGGGTTAAAGCCGAGGCGTGGCGGGACGCGCTGCCCTTCGGCC